TCTAGAAGAGATTGTCCAGTATGTAGAGATACTTCTTCCCACAACCACATGATGTCTGATGGCAATTCCTTCTCGAAGCTCTTTCTCTTGTGTCTATCGAAAGCTATGCTCTGATCTTCATGTACACACTCATTCTCTATTTTCAGAATGTATTTCTTTTTAAAAAAATTTCAATCCTTCGTATTCCAACAGCCAGAAACTGAACATTTATCTTACTCTAACGCTAGCAGTATAACTAGCAAAAACAGATGAGAGGAGTTCTCAATATGATTTAAAAGTTTGGCATATGAGAAATGTCCACAAAAGAGTTTCAGCAGTAACCTGGGTATGGGCAGTTCCCATACTTATATTCTCATCTCCAGACCTCTATCACCATGTTCATCACCATTGGTCATTTTGGGGGACATAATTTAAATCAGTGGTTCTCTAAATATGGTACCTTGAAATGCAAACAGGAGGTCCACCCAGATTTATTGAATCAGAAACTCTGGGGGTGAAGCTTTAACAAGCTCTATAGGTGGTTCTTATGCCCTGCTTAAAGTATGCACTGGCCCTGCAACGTATGATGTTGAATACAACAGTTTGCATCTCATTTCATGTTTTTCATGACTTCACCAGTCATATCAATAGCATTACAATCATCTTAATTTGCTGACATCAATAGTTGAGGTGATTTTTGCTCTCATTTATTTTGTTTTCTTTGCCAGACCCTTATTATGAAGGCTGCCTATTTTGTGATCAAAGTGTCTTTTTTAAATGTGATTGTTCTCACTTATTCTGGGTCACAAAAATCAAATCCCAAGCATCTTCAGTAAATCAATGGGTTATCTCCTGTGTAGTCTTTTATTCTGTTTAACAGTTAAAATAAAATATAAACACTATATAAAAGTAAAATTGTGCCTAATATGCTGTTTGACATTTTGAACCTGCTCCAGAACAGTGATAATTTATTTTGAACCAAAATACAATGTGATTGTCTGTCCTTTGAAGCCTCAGATACCTCTACGTTTTCATCAGTCTCATTCCCATTCTCTAGAAAAGCAGAGGGTTCCTTGGCTTGCTCTCACTTCCCCCGTAAGTTGTGATTTTCTTCTCTGAAATGCTCACTCTCTCCTTTCTACCACTCTATATGTTCCCTTACAATTGAAAATACCATTTACTTTTGAACTGGGGCTCCAACTTTACAATTCAATATTTATTTTTATTCTATGACACTGTATTCAATTTACTCTAATTTAGACATTTCTTTTCCAACCTTGTTTTAAATAAATGCTACATATGTACTTTCTCGGACTTTTCTATATCCTCTTAATATTCCTCTGCTCCATAAAGCCTAGTCTAAGACCCAGCATATGGTCAACTGACTTAAAAGTAGGTCAGATGAGATACAGAAACACCCTGTCTATAGTTGCAGTTGTTAGTAGCTCTGGTTTAGTTTTATGGGAGGGAATATAAAACCTATCTAATCAGGGCTTAGGTGATTGTAACTAGTCATGCACACCAATTGTTTTTTTGATGCTGTTCCTTTCACATCTAGGGCACCACTCCTTATTCTGACTTTATTTTTCAAGATAAAATTTTTTATTCAACAAATCTGAAACAGTGCAATCAGTATGGGCCTGTGTGTGTGTGTGTGTGTGTGTGTGTGTGTGTGTATCTTCTCTTATGTGGGCCTAAACCTAAAGGAAATTGTGCTAAGACTATAAATAGAAAAAGCATTACCCCAACTTTGAGCATTATTTCCATGGCTCCCTGATGACTTAGTGATATCCTGTGGAGTACTTTATTTTGATTTCAAAAAGGCAGCAAATAACAGATGTGATGGAAAGGTGCTGAAAGGGAGAAATGGGTTAGAGTGAAACAGTCAAACTACACCCTACCAGGCTTCCAGAGCAAAGTGAGCCGTACTAGAAGAGCAGAATGCATTACTGGGACGCTGTTTCACTTCATGCTGGCACTGAAGACAAAGGGCTTTTACTTTTTTATTTCTCATGGATAATTTGACTTCATTAAAGGGGCACCTTTATCCTCACCGTATTGTTTAAAATTGTACTGGGAGCATTAAAAGAACTCTTACAGTAAATTAAATGTGGTGGTATTTATCTGAACAAAAAAAAGATTTGTGAATTGGGCAGCCCTGAAAATTAGGAGAGGGTCCCCTGTTGTTGTGTAATGGTTAAGCTGCAACTTGGAATGCCCACATCCTATGTTGTAGTACAGGGATTTGATCCCTGGCTCCTTCCTAGTGCACCCTGGGAGGCAGCAGGTAATGACTCAAATATTTGGGTTCCTGCTACTAATGTGAGAGACTCAGATGGAGTTCTGGGCTCCTGGCTTTGACCTGGCCTAGGCCCATCTGTTACTAGCATTGGGGGACTGAACAAGTAGATAGCAGATGGATCTCTCTCTCTCTCTGTCCCTCTCCATCTCCCTCTCTCTCTCTCTCTCTCTCTTCCCCCCCCCCCCTCTCCTTTTCCTGTTGCAAATAAATTTAAAATTTTAAAAGAAGAACCAGGAGAGATTGAGATAACTGTACCCAGCAACAAGGCAGGCAGCATTTACATACAAAGAAAGGAAGGGATGGACAGAAACAGTTTGATTATTTGCAGCTTGGCTTTGCTTTATTTGGGCATAGTGTGATGAGTCATTTGCCTTATGGGCAAGATCTAATCAGTTGGCATCCTGTGATTGGCTGAAGCTCAAGGACCGTGATTGGGTGAGACTCAGCTATGTGGTACAAGAACATATTTTAAAATTAGATTGCAGTTTGCTTATATATGAAGTTAAGTTTCATTTCAACACATTTAAATTAATTTAACAGGAGTTCTCTCATCGACCCACCTGCAAATTCTTAAAATTAAATCTGTACTTGTCCACAATTATCTGTGAAGGTGAAAAATCTAAAAAAGTTGTGAAAATGATTTTTTATGACCATAGTTGGCAGAGCATTATCTGAACTGAAAAAATTTGGTGGCAAAACCAAATTAACATTAAATTGTTTACAGGTTTTATTTATCCCACCTGCAGTGTGTATTCATATCTTCTGCTGCTCAAATAACATGCTTGAGTACAGAGGAGTGTTTTAGACCCCATGGGCATGTGATGTAACACATGGACCCTATTGTCAATCCAGAATTCATAATTTTCTAAAACTGTAAACAGGTCTACCCCAACTATTTAGGATTAATGGTTGTGTATTTTTACTGATTTTCTTTCTTTTATCAGAAAGCAATTCAAAATTAGATAGAAAATATCTCTTCAATACCTTTAAGTTCCTGCATGTCTCTACCAAGAGAGAAATAGCAAAGTTAGGTTTTAACAGAGAAGAATCCTGGATACAAATGATATAGAGGGACTGAAAATATTTTAAAACATGATAAAATGTCATAGTGGAACAATTCAGAACCCAAGAATGCAAAGAGTTTTGTGTATTTTATTTCTTAACTATCATGTGAATATTTTGAATGAAAAAGATATATATGTATGTGCTGTGAATGAAGAATTGCAAAAGTTTAACAGTAAAGACAGCTTTATTCAGGTGAAGAATAGATTTGCAAATCAGGAGCCACAGCTTCAGTTTAGAAACTAGCAGGACTGAGGCTTTTGTAACCAGAAAAGGGGAAGGGGAACACACAGCTCAGCACTCTGAAGGTAAGCAAGTTAGCAAGACGCTGGTGGTTGGAAACAGATGCAAATGAGAGTGGTGTTAATATAGACATGATACATATATAATATAGGTAACATATTATGTATAATATGTCAGTACATACACCTATGTACCCATAAATATACGCACACGTTACATTGGTTGTTAGCAAACTTGGAAAACAGAATTGGAGCTGCCAAATGTGTGTGTGTGTGTGTGTAGTGCTCTGCTCTCTGCAGATCACTGTAGCAGCTAACATGTTTTGTTGTAAGAACATACAATGGCCACCCATATACTCCATTGACCACCTAATTTTTCCAGTGTAATCACATAAGAAATTAGTACTTTTCTACATTTTATTCAGCTGAATGATTGGAATAAAATTAGAGTTAGCTGCCAATGTAAAGTTTCACTTTCCTGGGATGGTAGGTTTGGAGTGTTTACTATTTAAATGATTAATTTAGATGGAACCTTGTCTATATGCAAAATTCTACATATGTGCTAGGAGTGGAGTAAGACAGATACAAGTCCTTTGCTCTGCACCGAGCTCTGACTCCCAGGAAGCACTACTTGCCCTCTTTGGGGAGAAAGGCTGGCCCACTGCCGTTACTAGCAGAGCTTGGCATGGGACTGGAATAACGAACGCTTACTGAGTCCACCTTCTGCTGAAATCTGAAGCCGACACTGCAAACTATTACAGCTACTGATAGGTGAAAGAGCTTTTCTCTATAAGAACTCAAAATATAAGCAGGAAGTAAGGCAAACACACACTGAAGGAATTGTCTAAGGCAAATCAGTCAAATCACATTGATAGTGTTATGAATATGCATCCTGAATGTTAAATTTAGTAACATATCAAGGTGAAAATGATCAGGCTCTCAGCTTATTAAAGACACTTCTTTCCCTTTTACTGCACTCTCGCTTTCATGCATGGCATATATTGCAGAATGCATTCATGATGGAAGTTCACAAGGGCATGTGATGGGAAAACAAATTTCAAAACACAGGTAACGTCCCATCTAAAGTTGGTGCCAGGCAGAAGGTGAGCGGATAAATTCCAGTAGAGGGAGGATTGTAGAGAGAAAGAGCTCCAATATGGCATCCAGGCCGTTCTTGAAAGCATTTCACTGGCTGTGTAAGGGCCATTATTTTAGAGCTTGGGAACCCTTCTGTTTCCTAAGTCAGACTTTGAATGTTTGCTTGCCCTGATGTGAAAGGGACGAAAGGTTTCTTTCTCCAGAAGTCTCCGGCCCTTGGGAATGAGGCAGAGCGGACAGGCTTCGCTTCAGCAGACTGCTGGCAGCATCTTCGGAGACAATCTCAAGACTCCTGACCGAAAATCTGGGCCCCCAGTTTAAGCATGAGACTGTAATTACTCCAAAAGCAGGGAGAATTCCAAGTCTCTGCCTATCTGCAGCACCGACTCAAAACAATCAACTCCTCTTTCAAATGTGACCAAACTACCAATGGCATGAGAACTTAGTTGTCTAATAAGGATGTTCATTTTGGCACTCAGCAGCTTACGCATGGCTCACAGATGGCTTCTGTCTCATTCTGTGTAATCCAATCATCCTGCACTGCTGCGTCTCACACTTAGTCTCCAGCAGTAATTGAAAAGCTCACAGTGACAATTGTCTCTTCTTCCAGATGTCGCCGATATAAGGATGTGGCTTTCAGCACCTCCTTGACGTCCGATGTGTACATGGCCCTGCGGGTCAGAGTTGCTCCAACCAAGGTAAAGAGAAAGTCTGCATTGTCTTTCAGTTGCTGCTTAGCACGAGTGTAAGTGAGCATGCTCTATGAATGGCCTCTGTAAGTAGGCAGCTTGTTTCACTTTTGGGTGGGGGACCATTCAGAAAACATTCTGTTGTATTGCTTGCATTATGCAGTACTGGAGGTGCCCATGCCCAAGAACGGCTTCTGTAACACTTGAGCAGTGCCTGGTTCAGAGGCCCCATTTTACTCAGAAGCAAGCTCTCTAGTATTAACACCTGCACTTTTGCTATCATTTTCTCAAATCATGACCGTTTGGCCTCACTTTTTTTTTTTTTTTGAAGGGGGTGGCTTTTATTTTTGTAACTTCTAAAAGGTGTGCAAGATTTTAAAGGCTAAGTCCTGAAACATTTTAAGCTGTAGGTTTGTTACTTTCTTTTTCCCCTGAGGCTGGGGTTAATAATTGTGTTTTAGTTTAGTGTAAAAATATCCCTTTAAAAAAAAATCAAAGAACCTGAAACAAGGAAATATATGCAAAGCCTCAAAGCAGCTGTGTAAATTCACGCAGACTTGGGGTCTGTGAAGACCTAGGCTGAAGCAAAAGACAATCTAGAAAATCAGATTTTTACTTAAAAGTTAGATTACAATTGCAAATTAGAGCTACATTCATTGTAGTGAAATATCAGCGTTTCAGGTTTCCTCAAGTGCTTTCTGCTCACTGCCATTATCACCACATATATCATCAGTAAGAAATGTTGAGCATGGGCAAAGCTAAGAAGAAATTTTCTAGATCAGAAAAAAACATTATTTCAGGGGAAATATCTTTTAAACTTATTTTTAAGAGGATATTAAACTGTTCATACTTTATATATCATTTTGGGGTTCAGCTAGCAATGATAACTTTTGGTACAGGGATAAAAATTAAAAGATAATGTCCTTTATCTTAAGTAGCTTACACAAAGAATGGGGACTCTATATTTAGTCTGAGGTTTTACACACACACACACACACACACACACACATTGAACTGGAAGGATCAAGATAACTGGGGCAATTCTCCACTATTTCAGAACCCCAGACCTTTATGTGTAGAAACACAAGTTTAGAACCTTAAACCAATAGAGGATATAGTCAAAACAGATGAGTTGTTGAAAATTTAAACTCTCACAATGCATCCCTGTAAGCCATGAGTTAGCCTTTCTTAAGTCTTTACTCACTGTCATTATTATCAACAACAAGAATTACTGGCATTCTCTTCAATTAATAGTAATAGCAAAATGACCTTCACCCAAAGAAAACTCGAAAACTCCACAAATATTTACTGAGCGCATGAAATGTGCCAGGCGTTGGGCTAATTAAATCCCCCCATCTCTACATTTTAAAGGAGAGGAAAGCTGACTCAAGGCAGAGTCATGGCCAAAGGCCATTTAATTAATTTGCTGTCTGGAGAAACAGCACAAGAACTGGGAAAAAAGCCCAGGTATGAGGACTGCTAAGTTGTTGTTCAGAATACAATGTTTTGTTGATCAGAATACAATATTCTACTCCAGTCGAATACATATTTAATGATTGCATTAAACTTATGTAAACTTTGCTCAGTGAAACAAATGTAGTGTGTAAAAATTTCAGAGGCCGAACAGATTCCTGCATTTCTTGGAGTTGTTCACTCGAATCGGAGCATTTTATTCATGCAGACACTTTGAGGGGGAATAACTCTCGAAAGCCTGCATCTGTGCTATGTTCCTATATGTCAGAGAGCCAAGATTATGATTTCTCTAAGAATTGTTTAAGGGACTATAAAGCAAGCTTTCCTATAGGCAGAAGTGGGTCCAGCACTGTGGTGCAGCAGGTTAAAGCCCCGGCTTGCAGCACTGGCATCCCATATGGGCACTAGTTCGAGTCCTGGCAGCTCCACTTCTGATCCAACTCCCTGCTCGTGTGCATGGGAAAGCAGCAGAGGATGGCCCAAGCCCTGGGTCCCCTGGACCAGTGTGGGAGACCGGGAGGAGGCTCCTGGTTCACTCCCCAAATGGCCACAATGGCTGGAGCTGAGCTGAGCAGATCCGAAGCCAGGAGCCAGGAGCTTCTTCCTGGTCTCCCACATGGGTGCATCCTCTGCTGCTTTCCCAGGCACATTAGCAGGGAGCTGGAACTGAAGTGGAGCAACCAGGACTCAAATTGGTATCCATATGGGATACTGGCACTACAGGCCAGGGCTTTAACCCACTGTGCCACAATGTTGGCCCTATGAATTTTTATAAGATGCTAGAAATTTGATGCATGCTTTCAACATGACTCCTATGAAATTTTACAGATTAATAGTAGAAAACTCAGAACATAACTAGCCAATTGCATATATGTGCCAGTGAGGAACTGGGAGGGAAACCTCTGTATATCTGACCATAGGGACCACAATTCTTTATTATTGAATTATGGTTCCCACTGGAGTGAGCTTTCATTATTTTTCTTCTTTCCTATGCATTTGTTAAATATCTACCAAGAGTTCAGTACTGTTTTGGAAGATGGAGAATCAAATACGAATAAATTAGTATCTCTGCCTTTGAGAGGTTGGAGAAATGCATCTCTCCACGAATACATGTGCGGTAACACAGGTGTGATCAAATTTGTTAAGACATACCTGCAATTACTATGGAAGCAAAACTTTTTAAAAGGAGGGATTTATTCTACTTTGGAGCAAGGGGCAGAGTGGGAAGATGACATATGAGGTGGAATAAACAGCTGTCTGCTCTGGAAAGAAGAATAAGCTGCTGTAGGTGATGGGAGCATTATGCTTTGCAAAATTATACCAGGGCTTCCAGTTTTCACCGAATAGATGGAGATGGTTATTACAGGAACAAGGCCAGGATTTCACAGGGGAATTCAAAGATCATGTGCCAGGGGCCTTCAAAACATTCGAAGAGAGTGGTTTAGTGGTGTAGCAGGTTAAGCTGCTGCTGTGATGCTGGTATTCCGTATTGGCGTCTGGCTGTCTACTTCCAATGCAGCTCCAGAGAGAGAAAGAGGGATTAGTCCTAAAGCTTGTATATTAGACTAGTTAATGGACAATCCCAGCAGCTTTCACAAGAAGGCCAAGAACAAGGCTAGGATACCCACTAACTGCACTACTATTGCAAAATATTCTGGAGGTACTAGTCAATTCGTTCAGATTGGAATAAACAAAAGAGCTATAAGAATTGAAATAGAAGGCATGAAACTGTCTCTGTTTACAGATAATATCATAGTGTATCTGAAAAATCATAGAGAATCAATAACAGTAACACAAATAATAAGCATTCATAAAGATACAAAAATCAGAAACTTTCTACCCATAAACAATAGCTCGTTAAATGATGAATTGAAGATTAAGACTTCAGTTATATTTGTAGAAAAAGAAATTTAATAAACTTAACCAGAAGTATATAAAATCTATATGAGGAAAAATTAAAATATTGCTGAAAGATACAAACATAGATTGGATAAGTTTGGAGATTTTTCTTACTTTTGGATCATATGAGTAAACATTTTAAAGCCATCTTTTATTCTCCTCTTACTAATACATTTAACATAATCCCAATAAAAATAACACAGCTGTTTTATGGGACTAGCTAAGTGGATTTTGAAGTTTGTAGGGAAAAATAAAAACTAACACAGCCATGAAAACTTGAAAAAGAAGAGAAATAATGGGTGCCTAGCCATACCAGGTATTTTTATTGAAATATAAGTGATATATTTACTTATGTTTATTCATATATTCATTGAAATAAAGTGAAATATAAGTGATAGCATTTTCCCCCCATAACCACCCTCCCACCCATAAATCATCCCTACTCCTACTCCATCTCCCATCCTATTCTTCATTAAGATTCATTTTCAATTCTCTTTATATACAGAAGTTCAACTTAGTATATACTAAGTAAAGATTTCAACAGATTGTACCCACACAGACACATAAAGTACTGTTTGAATACTAGTTTTATTGTTAATTCTCATAGTACAACACATTAAGGACAGAGATCCTACATGGGGAGTAAGTGCACAGTGACTTCTGTTGTTGATTTATCAATTGACACTCTTATTTATGACATCAGTAATCACCCAAGGCTCTTGTCATGAGCTGCCAAGGCTATGGAAGCCTCTTGAGTTCACAAACTCCAACCTTATTTAGACAAGGTCATAGTCAAAGTGGAAGTTCTCTCCTCCCTTCAGAGAAAGGTACCTCCTTCTTTGATGGCCCGTTCTTTCCACTGGGATCTCACTCACAGAGATCTTTCATTTAGGTATTTTTTTTTTTTTTGCCAGAGTGTCTTGGTTTTCCATGCCTGAGAAACTCTCATGGGCTTTTTAGCCAGATCTGAATGTCTTAAGGGCTGATTCTGAGGCCAGAGTGTTGTTTAGGGCATTTGTCATTCTATGAGTCTGCTGTGTATCCCACTTCCCATGTTGGATTTTTTTTTAATTCTATCAATTATAATCATACACATTTGATATATATATAATTTGATAAGTTTGAACCTAGGCTTGTACATATAGCACCATCACTGTAAGCAAGGGGATAGATATATCCTTCACCTTCAGAAGTTTCCTTGTGCCTCTCCCCCTCTCCCTTCATGGCTTTTTGTGGTAGAACACATAACATGAGCTCTACTCTCTTAACAAATGCCTCTACCAGATAAAATACACTACAAAACTTCCACTGTAGAACAGTGTGTTTGACCCATGAATAGATAGAGAAGCAGAGAGATCAATGGAAGAAAACAGAAAACTCACAAACGTGCATATGGAAAGTCAGTAAAGAAGAAAATCGTATCTCACTGGACTGTTGTGTTGTGAGAGAGAGCAAGGAAGAAGGAAGCAGGGGGTGGATATATGTGGAAAGAATGCAAACAGTATGTTGTAAATGCTCAGACTGGTCAAATTTGTCATGATTTCAGCATCAACAAGAAACACGATGCTGGGCTGAGTATTTGGGCTAGCAATTGAGGTGCCAGTTAGAACATCAACATCCTACATTGAAGTCCCTGA